CCCCACCCCAAATATAATCCACTCTGCAACCCTCATTCCGTACTCTTATGATAAACATAATGTGCCCTAAAATATAATAGTTTAAAAGTATTATATTTTAGGGCATTATGTTTATCATAAGGGTACCAAATTTTATTTTTAAAAAGAGCCATTGACATCTGAATTGTAATGTAAGAGGTTGGATCACCACTGCTTGTGCATAATCTGCTCTTAAAGCCAAGACCATTTCTCTGGAGCTTAACAGTTGGGAATTTAACCTGTCTCTATACAAGCAATACCTAGAAGGGTCATCTATGTTCGCTTTCCTTTCAGGACAGGATTCCATGGCTCTGCAACTTGCATGACATTTTACTAAGGTAAGAGAGCCCTGGGCCTTGACACGATAGGCCACTGAGTGAGAAAAAGCCGTCAGGAAAGCACAAGGACAAAATACCTTCTTGGAATCGCAGGTGACCTATGATAAAGGATCCTAGAATGAGTGCATCCTGCTTCTAGTAATACACAACCATGATTTCAGTCAGCCGTAACCAACTCGTGGTTTAGTTAGACTTCTGTCACCAGCTACATGGCTCCAGATACTCCCAGGGAATCTTGGTCTGCAGCCTGACCTTCAAAAGCCTCAGTTCTCTTTACCTTTAAAATGGGGGTATTGTTTCCACTCAGGTTATTATGAAAGGTGAGACTTGGGATGAGAAAGGTGTTTACCTATGCCATCACCATTATAAATGATTGTTGTTTGCTCCCATGGGGAGCTCTGGAGGCATAGTAGGCAGGCAGTTGGACTAGCTGCTCCAGAGGCAGGAGATGGATCTCCTTTCTGCCATTTACAGCCTCTGAAAAGTGCCTCTTGGAGAGGTAGCCCTGAGTGATGGCAGCCCCACACCCAGGGGAAGGTTGTGATACAGGAGGTTGGTTTTTTTTCACTGTTAGGTTGTGACAGCCATTTTTGGGGTTGTTCAAAAGTCTTCAGGTCACCCTGGTCAGCTGTGACTGTGAGCAGCACCCCCTCCAGCACATGTGGCCTTGACCTCACCCTGACTCCTGGCTGCAACATATAAAGGCAAGGGAAAGGAGTTAAACCTTGTGAACACAAAAGTAAAGGATTGTGCTGCCAACGTGATGGGACTGAAATCCACCAGCTTCTCCTTGGAGGAAGATGGGCAATATCCTCTCCTGTAACTTACAGTCTCTGAAAGCCCGCTGGAGGGCCAGCTGTGAGCTAGCTCTGATTTGATATCCCATAACATGAAGTTACACTGTGTAAACCTCATACAATATAGACTGTATAAAATTATTGAAACAAGATCCTTAGGAAAGCGCAGACCAGACCTCGTGAGTTGTCATGAGTCAGCTCTGACTCACGAGCACCTGGTTTGGTGGTAGGAATCTGTGCTGTAATCCCAAAGGCATGCAGTTTTACTGCTGTAATCTCAAAGGCATGCGATTTCCTGCCTCTGGAAATCGACTGGAGGATCAGCTGTCAGTTGGTTCTGTTGGTTCTGACTTGACAGCAAACAACTGCAACAAGCATTGCCTGATTGTGTCATCTCCAGGATTGTTAGTGTTTTCAGGCCATTGTTCCCACTCTTGTGTCAATTCTTACTGTTTCTTCATTTTTGCTGACCCAGTACCAGGCAGAACCACCTTTTCTAGCAGCTAATCCTTCCTGCTGATGTGTCCCAGTTAATAGAGTTGTCCCCTAGACCAAGACTAACAAGCCCTCGCCAGTGGCCCTGGGGGAGAGCTGGAGGGCTCATGGGCACTCTTTTTGATTACATCCCACCCACTACTTCTCTACTAAGCCTTGACCTTAAAACCAGAAGCAAGCGTCTTCACAAGCCTTAGACCTCAAGGGAAGGGTCTGCTAGATAGCCACCCCACTTTACATTTTGAAAGGAGCCCTTTCAAGGGGTACAGTAGACTGTTTTTGGAGATGTTTTGAATTCAAAGCCATATCCACACATAAAGATTTTTAGTCTTAAAAACCTAGGGAGTTGCCATGAGTATAAATTGATTTGATGGCAACAAAAGAGACTTGTTTCTATATGAGTGCCCTTCTGCCCAGGAGAGAGGAACACTGAAAATGGGGAGCTGTGGTTTACTTCCTGGGGAGCCCTTGACCACTCGGGTTCTCCCTTACTGGTCTGACATGCCTGGTTTGGGACTAAGTTCCCTGAAAACATCTCATATTTGACTTGCTCTGGCCACACACCTTTTCCACTATTTGGTGAATTCCCCTGATTTTTCCACCACCGTTTGCAGAGTCTATTGTAGAGGAAGGAGCTCTGGTGGTGTTGTTACATGTGCTGCTAACCAAAGTGGTTCACATCTACCTGCTGCTCCACAGAAGAGAACTGTCTCTCCTTAACGGTGTACAGCCTCAAAATCAATAGTACTGGGTGTCATTTGGTTAAAGTAAGAACGGGAGAAGCCAGCAGTGAAATTCAAGTCCCTGCACATGCTGTGGAGGAGCACTGGAACCAGCCGTGTCTGTGGTGTGAGCACCCATGATGAGACAAGTCCATATCCCTGTCCTCAACAACAGGTCAGCCCCATCACACATCCCTGTGTGTCCCTTCCAGCACTTCACAGATGATGAATGGATGCTCAAGGAGATTCTTAACTTGCCTCGATTACTCAGTTCATTAGAGAAAGATCATTAACTCAAAGCTGAAACTCCTGGTGCCTAAGAAGACCTCTCTGCCATCAATTTCAGCTGGTACCAATCTCTGCTGGGTTTTGAAGGCTGTAAATCTTAATAGAAGGAGACGGCCTGTGTTTTTCATGAGGAGCTGCAGGTGTATTTGAACCATCAGAGCTACACAACCTTTGGTTTAGAGCACAACACACTACAGACTGCACCACAGAGCTGCAAAGCCCTTTTCTTTTTTTTTTCTCTTCCTTTCTTTTCTATAATTATATTTTATTAATTTTCATAAACATTTACAGAGATCTTGGGTTTCCACTCATTCATTGTTGCACTATTCTCTCTACCCTCCTCCCAGTTTGTTCTTGTCCAAATGCCACAGTGCTTGTCAAAGCCAGTTCTGATTAATCTTCTTTGTCAGTGTGTCCTTTGCCATTCCCTATCACTCCTCCCTGAGAGAGACTTCACCCTGAGTCATAAGGAAAAGGGGATGGCGTATTCTCTTACAAAGCCCTTTTCAACTTGACTGTCAGAAAAGTAACACTAGAGCCCTTAGCCTAGAAATGACATGAAACCAAACCAGTTGTCAGCCCTGATCCCCAGCTGGCCTGTGTGCACCGAAGCAGGGTGTCTGGTGGCTGATGTGGAGAAGTGGCTCACTGGCCTCAGAGTGCCCCAAGGTGGATGCTGGCTTTCCCCAGCAAGCATTGGACTTTGTACCACCCAGGGACTCCCAAGCATTGGCACAGATTACTTCAAGTGTCTCCATTCTGTAAGTCTTTTCTCCTTTTTTAAATACAGAGATGTGGCCTCGGGACACTGTGTGGTTCTAGCCTGTTCAGCTCTGAAGAAAATGTACAGAGACATCCTGATACGAGGCAAGGAATCAGGCAAGGAAGAAAAGCCACCTGAGGTGAAGCTCTTCGTGGTCCATCTCAGTGGGCCGTTCGAGGTCATTTCTCAACGCTTACTTAAAAGAGAAGGACACTTTATGCCCCCTGAGCTACTACTGTCCCAGTTCAATACTCTGGAGTCTCCATCAGCTCCAGAAATCTTCATCCAAGTCAGTGTGGACAAAGAGCCTTCTGAGATCATTGCTACAGTTATGGATTCTTTGAAAGTGCAATGAGAATCATTTCCCATCAGGAGTCCAAAACAGATGTGCTTTAAATCTGTGACATCCCAAATCTTGTCCCATGTATCCTTGCCAGTACCACATTCTAAATTCTCAAAGTGACCTGACCATAATTCACTGAAGTTTACCTATTTGAATGTATTCCTAGGAATCTGAAGTTTCCTTGACTTTAGGGCATGGAAAAAGAGCTTTAGAGTAAAATTTCATTCCGTTTTAAGCGTATCTGTGATGCACATGAAGAGAAGACATTCTGAAATCAATGCTAGAAATCATGGCTTTTTTAGAGCATTCCTGATCATATCTGTGATTGAACAGATAAATGAGGCTTAATTATTCTTGACATAATCTAGAAACTGGCCATGGAACAGAAGCACATACAAAATCAACCCCTCAAAGCAAGTCATTTTACACCAAACACTTTTGTATCTATCTTCTCTGTCTTTGAATGTGATTCAGATAAGGAACTCTTAAGCTGGACTCCAAAATAGATAGTAATGGGCAGACAAGTAAACATCTTGTTCTTCAAAAAGCCTAATGCAAATACTTTTGCTAGGATCAATACCAGCTTTCTTACTTGAATAAAGTTCTATCAATTCAATGTGTTAACACTGTTCAAGTGGGGAGAGGGTATGGCTTAAACATAGAAAATTAAACAGCTATAGTGTTAAAGAAAATCTTTCATAATCAAAAGGGTCATTTCTGTGGACTAAAGACTGAGAGATTACTTTAGAGCTCTTCGAGTAGGAGACCTGTCAAAATAGTTTGTCTGAGCCCCACCAGGATCTAGACATGGAGCAAAGATCTGCAGGCTTCAGCAAGGGCAGCTGAGGCTCCATGGTGGGTCTTGAGCACCAGAGCAGAGGTCCACGGGCAATGGAGAGTCCAGGCCAGCCCCCACAAGGATCCAGAGGCCTGGGGCAGAAGTCTGCAGGCATTCGTGGTGCAGTAGTGGTCCCACAGCAGGTCATCCACATCTGTAAATGACAAGGCCCGGACAGGCCCCACTGGGATCCAGAGGAAGGAGGTCTGCAGGCATCAGTGGGGACAGCTGTGGCCTCACAGCAGGTACTCAGCACCCAAGCAGAGGTCCACTGGTGACAAGGAGGCCAGGCCAGGCTGCTTTGGGCCCAAGGTCCTGGCAGTCCTTGAGCCCATGCTAGGAATAGCACTAAAGATGCAGCTGTACCACTATCTATGCCAATACACCCATCCTGCTGCACCACCATAGGCCTCTGCTGTGGCTGAAAACATTGTTCTGTGCCATGATATTTGTATCCCTGGTTGTCTTTGCAGTTTGCTTTTAGAGGTATAACACCTATCTCTCAGTTCAGTTATTGGGGAATGATTTGAAGGTTGCCAGTTTATATCCTAAATGCATATAGGCTTGGATATTATTTGTTCCTATTAGTACAGCACTTGTCTGTCAGTCTGATGTCCCAGTGTAGCTTGTGGGGTTCTCTAATGCTGGAATGTGCCACCAGTGTCTCAGGAACCAGAAGGGTCACCTATGGTGAAGAGGTTACAACAGAGCTTCTAAATTAAGACTGGCTGTGAAAAAGAATTGGCTATCCAATTCTGAAACAATAGGCCTTCGAAAGCCCTATGAACAGAAGAATGTGGGTAGTATTAGAGGTAAAGCCCAGTTAGGAAAACACTAAAAAATGACTAGAAATGGCTGCAAACAACCACTAATAATTGGAACATGAAAAGTACATATATGCATTCAAGAAAAACGAAAGTTGTTAAAACTGAAATGGAATACATGAAGATTGATATTTTAGGCATCAGTAAACTGAGATAGACAAGCATGTCTTTGAATCGGACAGTCACATGATCTATGCTGGGAATGAAAACCAGGAAAAAAGATGCCACTTTCATAGTTAGAAAGGCAATTTCAAGATTTATCCTGAGTACAATGCTGTGAGTGATAAGATACTATCCATAAACATATTAGAAAGACCTGTCAGTACAACTATTATTCAAATACATGCACCAACAACATATAGGAGGAAATTGAGGGCTTCCACCAACATTTGCAGTCTGAAATTGATCCAACATGCAGTCAAGATTCATTACTAATTATTGGTGACTGGACCGTAAAGGCTGTAAACAATGAGGATGAAATGGTAGTAAAAAAGTATGGACTTAGTGACATAAATGAGGCCAGAATTCAAATGCCTTAATTTTGTGTGCTCAATGACTTACTCATAACAAATATCATTTTTAAAAAACACAACCAACCACCCATAAACAGTAATATTATAGATGGAGCTCACTTGATGGATTGCGCAGGAATCAGATCGATTTTATTTGTAGAAACAATTGTTGGAGAAGTACAAGATCTACAGTTAAAACCAGACCAGGTGCCAATAAGGGGGAGCAAGATGGCAGCGGTGGCAGAGACAATGTGGCGAGCTGCGGGAGCAGCGGACCACATAGAGGAGGGCCACCACGGCCTTCTACAGACCTCTGTTTATTGATAATTGAACAGTTAAATAGTTGATGACTGGTCTTTGGTGCAGATCAAGGGCCAACAGCAGGAGATCAAGGATTCCCAGGGAGGAATGGGTGAGTCCTGCGGCTCCCAGCCCCCTTCTGCCGAGTCTGCGCCACCACAGCTCCAGAGGTGGTTCCCACCACCAGACCCCAGGGATCCCCTCACCTGGGATGGATGGTGGGCACCGGGGACACCCCCCCCCCCGAGGCCAGTGCAGTGGAGCTGCCACACCGCTGACAGAGTGGACTTGTTCTGGGGAGAATTCTTGGAGCCAAGATGGCGGCAGCATTAGATGCAGTAGCAGGTCCAGGTTTCCTTGGGCAGATCAGAGAGGAAGATCACCAATACAATGGATTGATGAAAGTCACTGTGAGCTGTCTACGAGGACACTTAACAGTGGCAGCATGCCTAAGACCACATCTTCTGATCTATTGACTGCCACTGCCAAGAACTGTTTAGACCTTGGAGGGGGTTTGTTCACCAATCTCAGGTTCCTTTCTCCATTTATAAGGGGGGAGGGCAGTGACACCTACTTCAAATTACAGTTTGACCACTTATTGGAGGGGGAGGATAAAGGTAGTGGTGCTGGAATTGGGGATGCTGTCCCTGGCCACATGGTCTTTGGTCAGGGGCAGGGTCCGGACGTGGAGGGGGGGACCTTGATGGGGGAGTGTGCCAGCCAGCCCCTAGGGCATGTCTCCCGGCCCTCGGGGGATGCTGTCCAGCCCTCAGAGTGGGCTATTTGGCCCTTGGGGAGAGTTCAGCCCTTGGCTCAGGGCGAGCCATCTTCAGCCCCCCGGGGTGAACTCCTCAGCCCTCAGGTTGTGCCATCTGACCCCTGGGTAGAAAAAAACTGCCTAGGGTGTACAGAGAATTTTACCTAGGCTACTTTCCTCCACCCTCTCCCCCAGTACACCCATAAGTAACACTCCCATAGCCCTTCTATTTGTAACTCACAAGTTTGTTCTCTCTAGGTTTGCTCCCTTTCCTATAGGTAACCTTAACACTGAGTTTTACTCCAGACCTGACC